AGGGGGGGGGGGGTTATTAACAAGGGCGAAATGTTATAGTTCAACTCCAACCATAGCTCTGTCTTTAGATTAGGACAGAGTGAGGAAGAGTTAGAACCTTTATCTGGTTTTAGTTTGGTTTTTTGTGAAGATGCAAATGAGATATTCTCTCACTTCCTGCTATTGCCCAAGCATCCAAAGCTTGACAGCCAGTGCCATCAGGTCCAACTTCTATCCTAGTGTCCCCAATTTAAAGGAAGGGACTCTGTTTTTGAGCCCCATCAGCTTGACATGCTTTCAGAACCATTTTGGTTGATTTTACATCATTTGCTGCTCTGTAAAACACTTTTCAGTTTTCTTTTTTTTTAACTTTATTCGGATTTCTACAACTGATGGAACTTTGCAGAAGTTTGATCATCTCTTTTTGAGATCTTTGATCATCTCTGTAGAGCAGTTTCAGAAAATCATAGAGGCTGCAGACTGAAATGTAGAATTATTTCAAATAACATTCAGTGTCCAAATGGGTCGGGTTTATTATTATTTGTTATAACATTTTATAAATGATAGTGGACTTTTCTTCTAAACGTCTAGCTAGAAATGTACAGTGACAATAGAATTATAATGAAGGAAGGATGCACGAGGGCATATTTAGTACCATTTAAGGGTGCAATGTGCATCAAATTTCAAGCCATTTGCAATCCTAAACAATAAAAGAAATCATTAACTTTATATACAGAACCTTTGGTCTCCCGAGTCTATCCTTAATACTGTATCTCACAGCATCATTTAGAAGCCAGCCAGACATCTCAGACTTTCTAATGAATTTCACTCCGCTCAGCATGGGCTCTCATTCTCATTGCTCAATTAAAGATCTGCCTTGTGTTCCTCATTCTCATCCAGCTAGGTCCTCAACCTTCCTATTGTCATTGCCATCCCATTGTGAATAAAAGCATAGACAGATTTGGCAGCACCCGATCCCATAAAACATTGAAGAGAGTTGTTACAAAGCTGCACCACTTGGAACAAATTCATATACAGTCACAAACAAATGGCAATGAAACTTGATTTGGCAAATCAGTTTAATCATGTCTGAGAAAATCTTAATCACACATTTCACTTGCTAAGGGGAATTATCAGAGTCGCGCTTTTAGTTTACAAATGTAAATTTATATGAAAACAGCTAAAACGGAGATGCATAATCTAAATATTTACTAATAGACAATGCAGTATTATGGCAATTAGTATACATTTGCATATAATAATTCAGTACAACTGTGAGCAAGAATGTTGTCTTGTTTTGCTCTGCTTAATTAACCTTTAAAGCTACACTGCACAAGCAGTAATTAAGACAGCTCAATGACAGATTAATGTCTTTCTAAGTTGGCAAAACACATGGAAGGGACAACAAGAGTTCCAGTAGCAGTACTCGTTGAGCAAATTACTAACTTGAGATGGACATAAGGGTTCTAGTCATAAAATTGAGATAAGCGTACTTTGGGCATAGAATACCCTCCTTTGCATCCATTTGCATTACACTGTATTTATGAAGTGCTCTTTTTAGGTCCACAATGAGAATTTTTGATGCAGCATGGCTCTAAATGTGCAATTCTGATATCTATGTAAATTTTGTTAGCAAGTTAGGCAGCATTACATATTCATAAGCCAGAAAGCAATAATTAGAGTTTTACTGAAGAGTACCAGCTATTGTGCATACATAAAAGATAACAAAAATAGCTAATCACACAATTAAAAAAGGAGAAACTTTGTAAATGTGTGAAAGGAATGAAAGATGATACTTGTGACAAGCAAATACATTAATGTATGAATAATAGGTTATCATAAACATGTACAATTTGCACTGACCAAGCATGCTCATCATGCCCTGTGCAGACAATCCTAGCAGAAAACTATGCTAGTGGCTCAGTGGTTAACACTTCTACACTAAGGGCTGACAACCTGTGGATGGAAGAACAGTACTTCTTTTCACAAAGATTCGCCAACTAGTTGTAATATCTCTTTCTCACACGGCCAACCTATTCCTTTTTTCAATAAGGAAGTAAATTAAGTGTCTTACTGTGTGTGCCTTATTTTAACTTGATGTCAACTAACTTAATTTCTCAGCATATGTTGTTTTCAGTAAAGGAGGCTATATATTGTTTAATTTTCTAAGAGTTAAACTGATGATTAATTTCAATTATAGTGATGAAAAAAAACAAAAAGGAGCAGGATGGAAAATTTTTCTAGAACAAACAAAATTCTAACAATAAATGTGGTTTTCGCTCAAGAAACTCCATTTATTCTAAAACCAAATGTTAAAAGAGAAGTAAAGCTAACTTTTTTTGGCTTTTTGGGGGTCACAGGAGTACACATACTAATGAATTCCTGTTACCCAAAGTCAGCATATAGTGGGCCACTGCCGGTTATATGCTGACAGCTCAGAGCCCTGTTGCAGCCGGGAAAGATCCCGACAATATTGTCCAGATCCACCCAGCAGCCTGACAGCTGGCTCCGCCTCTCTCAAGCCAGAGTCGGCTGTACCCACCCCCATCCAGTGTCTGTCCCTTCAGTAAGTGCTGGAGGAACTGGGAGTAGAAGGGGGAATCCCTGCGGGAAGTGCTGATCACTCAGCTCTCGGTATAGTATAAAGAACTGCAGTGTCACGGGCTGGTGCTAAGTATTGCCAAGAGTATATTTTACTCTACCAATACTTTAAAGTCAAACAGAATTTTGAACAACATTCTCTTTTGTCTGCGATAGCAATATCGAATGTTCTAATACTATTTTATGTATGAACATTCATTCAAAAATCTACCAAGGTATGGCCAGCTTAAGACATCTGCCCATTCAACACCAGCCTATAGATAAAACTATTTATTTTGAATACCGTTGTGATCTTTACACCCAATGCCCCTGTAGATAGTATGAACATTTTTCCTTCAGTTACATTAGACTTTAAAAGTAACCACATGCAAGTTTCTACTTTGTTCATTATTTAATATACACAATTAAACACATTTGGTTACCTTTACTGCACAAAGGGCTTAAACATTCAGGTTGGTTTCATACCCAAAACACATTTTACAGCAACACATGTTAACTTTGGCATTATTAGTTGGATTACAGGGTCATTCATTCAAAATGGTACATCAACCCACAAGTACAATAAGTGCTGACGGACCTGCACTGCAGCAAAATGTACATAATGTGCATTGTGATGAACTAAAGTTTACAAAATGCTTTTTAAAGGCTTTGTCCTCCATCAATCAAAACAGCTTAAATTCAAACTTGGATGTAATCCAGCATGAAAAGGCTCCTGCACTTTGTCCTGTAATAAAGAGCAGTCACTGATGCTCTCTGCTTGTGTAGGGTGACTAGTCTTGTGTCCGCCCCCTCCTGTAGTTTCCTATGGTGGGAGGAGCTATCAGGTCCCTCCCACAGCTCTACTCAGGTTATGTACAGTACAGTGATAATGTCACAGCTATTTTACAGGGTAAAAAAAATGTTTGTTGTAAGGGTTTTGATGCACAAAGTGGATTTATATCCTTTATGGCTATTGAGGTATAAATTTGAATGAAAGTTTTTCTGCCCAGAGTTCAGCTTTAAAGCCCAACTGCAACCAAAACTTTTATTTTGTTTGGGACAGAGCAGGGAAGGGATAAAACAGTACATTTCATCTACCACAACATCAAAAGAATATTACATGGAAATCAAATTACAAATTTAAATAATGTAAAAACGGGTAAAGATTTTTTTTATTGCAGCTTAAAAATTAAGTCGTTTAGAAAAAAAAACAACAGTATAAAATTATAAAAAGGTCAAACAGAGCAGTCCTTGGGTTACTTTAAAAACCCATTCATGTACTATATAAATCACTTCAATTTGTATTGACATGATGTGAAGGAGAATGCAGACTCAGTGTTTAGAGGATTTTGAAGGGCTGTTATTACATGGGTTTAACAGCTTTCGTTTTGCTGGAGGACTCCCACTATAGGTTTGATGAAGAGTGGAAAATAGACATGCTGCCTCTGAAATATGTCCTGGAAGGAATACCTTATCAGAATCAGGCTGAGGTTTAACTTCCTCTGTAGGCTGTAGGGATACACAAGGTAAAACATTGAAGTCTGAGTGGTTATTGAAATCTATATTATACCCATCAGTAAACATTTGTGCTTGTTCTTCATGATCGGCTGAAGAAGAGGACAGTGAGCTGCACACAGCAGATGATTTCGTTTGTTTACTGCTTTCATTAGGGGACAATGTAGTCCTTTCAGAAGATTCACAGATGTGGACTGGAGAGTCACTTTGAAAATGTTTGACCCAGTCTGGTATCAAATGAGGAACATTTGTTTGAAAACGATTTCTTTGGCTTTCCAGGAGAGATGGTGCATTTGTTGGATCAACACTGTCATAAGGTAAGTTTATATCCACAAAGTTTTCACATGAGGTCCCAGGGTGGTTTAAGTCTTCTCCACCTATGGTGTGTAGCCTGCTTAAAATATGATCAGCTGCATTTGTCTCTTGCTTTCTGAACTGTATATCATAGTCTGTCTTTTCAGACTTCTTGCCCTGTGGGTTTCCATTAATATGGCAAAAATTTGAAAATACTGCATTTGTTTGCCCAGGTTCTGTTGTTCCATTAGTATTGTTTACATTGTGCTCATTCCTTGAAGAAGCCATTTTGCCAAGTTCTCGTCTTTGAGGCAAGTCATCAAACACTAGTTTTCTAAGGTATGTTAGTGGCTTTTTTAAATTTGTATTGCTGAAAGAGCTGGTTTTGCTGTCTGGTGTGTTTAGCTGAAGAGAGCTGAATGGTAAGGATGAAGAAGGGCTACCCAAGGCTTGGGACATTGAAACTATGCCCTTGTCTGGACTGTCTGTATCCAAGCTAGCTTGCTCCTCACCATTCCACAAAGCGGTATGTAAACCATATTTTAGTTTAGGCGAGCTAACAGTTTTAGACTGGGTTTGAGTTAATTTAGCTGAATTGGGGCAAAGGCCTTTGGAGTCATCAGAATAGATCCCATTTTCATAGCTGTGGTTTGGAAATAATTTGTCAGCATTAATATCTTGACACACATGATTAGTTGCAGCTCTTCCAGAATGTTCTTCCATGAGGGCAGTATTTCCACACTGAGGTTTTTCTATTTGCTTATCCTCTGGTGGCTTTTTCAGCTGCACAATCTGTGCTTCCAGTTCTTCTATGTATTGATCACTCCTCTCTAGAGCTTTTTTAAGTCTGCTCATCTCTCTTTCAAACTGATCTACTTTAGCTTGCAATGCGGCCACTGTAAACCGTCCAAATCTGAAAGCACACAACAAAAGAAAGAAAGTTTAATCTCAAATCTGGAAAGACTCATAGAAAGAGAGACTTACAAAAAATACTCTGGAATATTTAATCAGAAAGACTCCCTCTACACTATAACTTGCACTACAAACTGCCTAGAAATTATTTGCATTAAATGTAATTCATTTTGTGTAAAAAAAAGAAAAACCCCCATTGGCCATATTGTTTACAAATAATAATCATAAAAAACGGATGATAAAGATTACAATCTAATCATTTAAAATTGATGTGAACTAATAATTGTGATTCTAACTAGCACTTGTACAAAGACTTCTTTCCAGAGAGCAAGGTAAGCGCACACATTTAAAAAGCAGTCATGGGCAACTAATGGTTATTGTATGAACTGCTGTACTATTGAAGATCCAGTAATTATTGAGGACTGCCCATATGACCGTGTCTCTTCACATTATATGATTCTATAAAGAAATTAAAATAGCATGCATATAACATCACTTGAAAACAATGTCTCACAACATTTTATAGTTTTATAATCTTGTACCAGCACATGATATGGTGTGACTTTTGCATGCAAATGCTTTAAAAATGCCCCCATTCTGGTGTCTATGCTTGAAAAAAACGCATCACAAGAGTCCTCACAGTTGTACTAGAGAGGAAGAGAGGGGTTGGGTCCGAGTAGCACTAACTACAGGGCTGGCTGGCCTTACACTGTAAGAATTTAATTTGAACATTCATTCAAAATCATTTGTCAGAGCTATGGATCTTGCCATTACTGAGTCAACTAATTTAGTTTGAAAGCCCTTAAAAATTTTGCCTAGACCTGCTACTTAAATGGAATCCAAGATTTAAATATTCCCTTTGAAAACAATATACTTGTGTTCCAATCTGGGAATAAAGAAAGCTTTGCACTTCACAATTACAATATGTACAGTTGTGCAGAAATTGTGAAACTTTGGCATTGATATTGAAAATATGACTGATCATGCCAAAAAAATGTATTTTATTTAAGGATAGTGATTATATGAAGACATTTATTATCGCATAGTTGGTTGTCTCCTTTTAAATCATCATAACAGAAATCACCCAAATGGCCCTGCTCAAAAGGTTTACATACGCTGGAATGTTTGGCCTTGTTACTTGGCTCGCCGCAATTCAGGATGGCCGAGCGGCATAGTGAGTGATCGGAGCCGCTGTCATCCTGTCAGTTTTTGGATGACAGCGGCTCTGTAGCGTGACCGAGCGAGGGATCGTTAAATATCATTGATATTTAACGATCCCTTTGTGCAGAGCAAACACCGGAGTGATCGTCTGATCACTCCGGTGTTTGTAAGTAACTGGGTCACGAAGTGCAGAAGGAGTTTGACTCGGCTAATCCAACATCTGGATCGCCTTAGCCGAACCTCCGGCAGGCTACTCAATGCTGTTCCGCCTATTCTTATAGGGGCATTCGGCTCAGCTATTCTGCTCGGTACCTCTGTGGTACCGAGCAGAATAGAAAAAGGAGAAAATGATTGGGCGGAGCTAGCAGTGACAGCTAGCTCCGCCCAACTGTTTTCTATTGGACGGGACCAGCTGTCATTACAATGAGAGCTTGTCGGAGCCGGCGGTGATATCAAAGCCAGCTCATGACAGTTCAGCGTCCCCTGGTCACTAGGTAACCAGGAGATGCTGAACTGTCATTACACACTGAGGATCCGGCGGAGCCGCCGTGATATCATGGCGGCTCCGCCGGGTTCTCAGTGTGTAATGACAGTCCAGCTTCTCCTGGTTACTAGGTAACCAGGAGATAGTGAACTGTCATTACACAGTGAGAACCCGGCGGAGCCGCCCTGATATCACAGCGGCTCTGCCGGGTTCTCAGTGTAATGACAGATCAGCGTCCCTGGTTACCGGGTAACCAGGGACGCTGATCTGCCTCTGCATGCAAGTGGCCGGAGCCAGCCGTGAGATGACGGCTGGCTCCGCCAAGCTGTCAGTAGCAGGTTGTCGGCCGGCCGTTTGGCCAGCTTCGGCTTTCACCTCGGCTCATTCGAGCCGAATCATATGCCTTCGGCTCAACTGAGCTGCTCGGCCAACTTCGGAGCTGTAAGGGCTATAGTGAATAGCCCGTACAGCAGCCCTTCGGTTCTTCTGAACTGAAGGGGTCCTGGGGCCGAAGCTAGCCGAAAGATCAGCCGAAGCTACGACTAGATCCTTCGGCAGCTTTGTGAATAACCCCCATAGTACTATGTGTCCCAAGTTATGAATGAACAGGCTGTGATTTACATCACTTCCTGTTCATTCATGAATTTCT